ATGGAAACACTAAGTTACTGTTATACTCAGGAGAGGTTGGAATAGGAGGGAAGGCTGAGTCATTTGTGTAAGCGGTAGTTGAGGCCCTAGGAATGGAGGAGGTTTGTTGGAGAGTGTGCAAAACTGGCCTACCTGAGGGAGGGCCAAGTTTTGGCAAAGGTCTTGGAGACTGTCTTTAAGCTGTGTGACTCTGGCCAAATCACATCTTCTCTCTCAGCTTCAACTATATAAAATCAAAATGTCGGACTGAATCCCATGGCCCCTTCAACTTAGACATTCAACCAACCATTACTGACGAGATACCAGCTCAGAACCAGGAAGGATGATCAGTACTAAGCAGACACCCAACAGACACATAAAAAAGTCCTCTGATACACTGTGATTAACAACTCTCATAAAGGCAAGAGGAAAATGCAGAGTGAGGGAGTCCTGAGTTGGAAGTGCCTGTCTGGGGGAATTCCAGGAAGGCCCTTAGAGATGAAATTAGATCTTGATCTCAGATGACTAAGAGAAACTTGCCAAGCAGAGGCAAGACCATGTGCAAAAGCACAGAAATGTGAAAGCACATGACATATTTGGGGAATGTCTGCGTTCTGTGAGCTTGAATAGAGAGAAGAGTGATGGTGTTTGGAGAAGGGAGACATGGCCAGGCTGTAAAGGGACTCTGCTGGCCTTCTAGGTTTCAGAACAAGTAGCGGAGAATCAATAGGGGTTCTCACTTACTGGAACAACACAATTAGGTTTCCGCTTTAGAGAGGTGAATGGAAAGGAACAGATGAGCGCCTTCCACCTAGGAACTGGCAGTTAGAAGCCATTCTCTCTCACCATGATTTGAGAAGGCAGAAGATAACACTGTAAGGGTTTCTCCACATGGAAACTTTAGTTACATAAACACGATGACACATGAAAACCAAAATTCTAAACATGGTTCACATGTTTACTCACAGCATAATTCAGAAAAAGAGGCTGGACTCCAAAGAGAGTTGAAGAGCAACTCATCCTGGAGAAAATCATTCCCATTCCCAGGTCCCAAGGTTTCCTGACCAAAAAAATCAAACTCACCACCATCGAGTCGATTGCGACTCATAGCAACCCCTCCTTGGGTTTCCGAAGTGGTATCACTACGGAAGTAGATGGCCCAAGCCACACCTGGGTCTAACTGAGGGGTTGGTGGTTTGAACCCACCTAGCACTCAGCAGTTCTGCAGGACAAAGGCCAGCAATCTGCTTCTATAACAATTACAGTCAAGAGAAGCCTATGCAGCAGTTCTACTTGGTCACGTGGGGTTGCCAGGAATCGTAACTGACTGGACAGTACCCAACAACAGGCCTCTGTAGGTAAATAATGTTTGAGCCAGAAGACTGGGACTTTGACTTTCACCAAATCAGACTTCGGCTGCTCAAATCCTAACATTACTCTTTCCCCACATTCTATCTACTTCATTCTTATTTGTAGTACCATCAAAATTGATTATATTTGAGGAAAGCCTGGCATCTCTTGACTCTTCTCTACAAAATCCCATCTTCGGATCAATATCTTTAAACCTTGGAGCCCTCTTTTTCTCTTGCGGCCACAGAGGCGCTTATATCCTCTCTCTGATCCTCCCTCAGACTTCTCTTGGCATCCACTGTACTTTCAAAACTTCTTGCTGCTTTGTTCTCCCGGAGAGTCCAGATAAATTGCCAACGGGCTCATCTTCCTTTTAAATCAATGTTTATCTCTTACTGCCTCTTGAACTTTTGAGACGAACAAAAGGAAAGGCAGAGTGAAGGTTAAAGAGCAGCTGGGAGGGAAACAGATGTTAAACACCACACCATGTTTCTGTCTCTTGGGCCTCCCAGCTTCCACATTGTTCTATCCTCTTGGTTCTTAAGACATTTTTCTGTGTTCTCTCTTCTACTCCAAAGTCTTCTACACTGGCTCATATACTGCCATTCATTGTCTGACTCTCTTCATGTTCAAGACCCTTAAAAGCCACACTGGCATCAACTCACAGTAAACATACATCCTCAAGCCCTTACAAGGGCCTTCAACAAGAAATGCTTCTCCTATCAAGTTTCCACAAGAGTCACCCCTCCAACCTCTCGTCGCAAATCTTGTCTGGGGAGAGCTGCTTAATTTCTCTTCTACACTTCAGGTTTCAGAACAGACATGACAGTTTTTAGGTTCTACCTTATTTTTTTACTCCCTTCTTTGTTCCTTCCGGGGCACCAATGATAATACTTCATGATGGCCTTTTATCTGGCTAGTAAGTAAACAATGGTAAAAATGGCTATAGGTTGGAAGAGGCCAAAGAAAATGGAAATGCAAGAACGTCAAACATGTCTTGCTCAGTGAGGGGATTCAGCCCACACTTACTGTACATGGATAAACATTCTCTTCGCATTGGGCAGAGAAATCCAAATATGGAAACTCTGATTACTACCATATCTATAAAAGGCAGAGGCCCTGTTGTCCTAGTTTCTTTGGGGAGATCTTCAAAACGGAAAGAGATGATCTAGACACTCAGATGCAAACCATGAAAAGCACCATTTATCATCCCGTTCTACCGTCCTTTCCAAGCCTACAAATGCCAAACTGGATAATATGCATTATTCAACGACCTAAAACCTCTCAGGGCTCCATTTGGCTTTACTACACCCACTTAAGAAACACAGTCACTGTCAGAGGTCAAAGCTCATTAATGCTGAAACCTAAATTCAGTGCCCTTGAGATATGCAATGTACCTCTAGACAAGCCTTCCTGACTGTAGTTAATTTCATTATGACTTCTGGATTCTCCACAGGACAGATCTCACAACTCAAGATCATATTTACTATGGAAAGAGCCCTGGCTGAGGAATGGATCCAAAAAAAAAAAAAAGACTGAAACTTGGCCCATGCAGAAGAATTTCAGATACTCATAAAAGAAATTCAGATGAACCAAGGGTGTTTGAGAATGACTGGGCCATTTCAAGTGCAGAAATGAGTACAAAGATTGAAAGGGCAATGCAAGAAGAGCACAGTGGAGGGAGGCTGGAAGTGATCTTGCTTTTTCCCTCAGAACCATGGACTTTGGGACTGATGATTACATCATCATACCAATGAGAAAAGAGTAACCCAAGGAGGAAAAATGAGTCTGTTGAAGCCCCATAGCTCATATCAGATCTGACAATAAAACCCAATAGCCCTTCTTCCTTGCCAACCTTCTCATATAAGAAGGGTCACAGCCCACAGGCATCAGCATAAAGACTGGAGAGTCATGCTCCTATGGAGTGAGCAGCCGACATGAAACAAGGGACCACAGTAGAAAGGCCCGCTTTATCTCCAGTACGCCATCTGCCATTCCTCATCCTAGTTCCTACAGACCTGCTTTCACAAGAGCCCAGATGGTCACACACACTTGTCTGTGTGTCCTTCATCCACTACTTGGATCACTGTCTTGCCTGGACCAAGAGGACAGGTAGCATCAATGTGGACTTGGAATGGGAATTATGAGCATTATTCAGGGTAACATATGAAAGCGTCTGATAAGAGAAAGCACCCAGGGACCTTGTTAAAATGCAGACACCGGTACAACAGGTCTGGAGTGCAGTCTGAGACTCTTGATCCTCTGACGAGCTCCCAGTTGCTGCAGACACTACTGGCCTCAGGACCACACACTGGTTAGCAAGTAGCAGGGAACAGAAGTTATGCATGCAAGCTGCAAATCAAACAAATCAGTTTTCTAAGTGGTTTCACCACTTAGAAGCTTTGTGATCTTGGGCCAGTTCCTAACTTTACTGTGACTCAATCTTCTCATCTATAAAATGGAAATTAAAAATATCTCACAGGCACTTGATTAAATAAGTTAATGATGTAAAGCTCTTAACACAGTGCTTGGCATATAAGGGTTTAATAAATGTCAGCTGCTGGCTGCCTCTGAGATTCATGAGTGCAAGGACTGTATCTCCCTGGCTCACTGCCAAAACCCTCACACTCTAGAGCAGAGTAGAAGCTCAATGGATGTTCTATGAGTGAATACATGCATATACAATGCACCCACGTACAACAGCACTTCCTATATACTACTCCTTGGGTTCTGTGGCTTTTCTGCAGTAAAGCATAAGCCATTTAGAACACTACAACACTCACCCATAACATGTCATCTCATTGAATCAAATTCAACATCAACCCCCATGTCTAACCACCAAATATATATAATTTTGAATGGCTATATCTACTTGAGAAAATATCTTAACAGTAAACAAATAAATACAACATTAGTCTGGAATCTACCTGTCATTAAGAGAAATTACTGCCTCGCTCATTATTTATGGGGCTGTCTGAATGCAGATGTTATGAAAACTTAATTCTAAAACTAAGTACACTTCCAAACTAAATGGAGAATTGCAAAGAGAGACAAAACAACCCATAGGGGGCAAGACCACTTTTCAAAGGACCGTTGGGGAGATACATCCTCTTATAAATACACACACTTGCTCCAGGGGGAAAAAAAAAAAAAAATAGTAACAGAAGAATTTCTAACAACTGGTAGAGCTTAATCTTTTAAATCGAAGGCAGATAAGTGAGTCCATGTGAAATTCTTCAGCAATCTAAGATTATCTTCAGACATCTCATAAAGTAAGTGGCATCATTTGATGGGATCCCACTTCCAGAGAGGCACAGTGAAAGGCTTGTACCAAGAAGGGAATGTGATTGCCACCTACAGACAGAAGCGGCTCTCCCTTTGCAAGAATTGGCCAATCACATTTTAACGTGAAGAAAAACATTCCACCAAGTCGCCTCCCTCCAACCTCCTCCAAACCACCACACCACATTACTTCATTTAGAATTACTTTCAAGTCATACAATCATCTCCAGGCATTCTGCCTCTTCATTAGCATCATCCTATTTCTAATTTCCCAGAAACACTGCGCCGCTCAACTATCTACTTATACACTATTTGAGAGCCAAAGAGAATTCAAGCCAAAGAACTGCTAGCAGCCAAAGGCATCAGAGTGGAAGGATAAATCTGCTTACCTGGTATGAATGGGACCACCCGGAATATATCGGACAATCTGCTGTTAACAGGTTCATACGGAGAATCTTCAAGCAGGTCGTTTCCTAAAAATAAAAAGATTGGGATCCGATTTGGAAAACAGATCTACTTCAGGCAGCTTTTCACTACTGAGTCTGAATTCTAATTATGTTGTGATTGTGTAACAAAGAGATGGTGAAATTTTCAAAGATTTCAGGTGCATCTATTTATTTGGCTTTGGTTATTTCTTTTCCACACCTCTTTGCTGTCCTTGCTCTCCCTAGAGTGCCCCGAAAACACTGGGGAGCAACCCAGCCCTACCTTGCCAGAACTCTCCCACTCTCTGCAAAGGAATGAAACCAGAGAGGAAGAAGCCAGTGACGTCACAAGCCCTGCTTGCTACCAGGAACCAATGGAGGAAAGGTGACCCTGTTTACTCCCAAACAATGGCATGAAATCAGGTGGCCTAGATATTTTCATTCATAGGTTATGGACCAAGTGGCAGCTACAAAGGCAAATCTGTATGTTACACATTTTTCCTGTGAGTCTTAGAGGAGAATGAACGCACAGGATGTTTCTGCTAGATTTACAAACAAGCCACCTCTGGCAGGCAAGGACCAGAGAATTCCCATTGCAATGGATGCTTGGGGCAAGTGGATCTTTCTCTCCCTGAACTACTTTGCCTTAACCATGGTTGAACCACACCAGATGATTCAAGACTCTGCTAATCTCAGGTGACAAATACATCCCCCCACACATGAATTCAGCCTTTGATCAGGTGGTAGGGGGATGGAGATGGAAAGGATTCTACTGGCCCTTTCACACTTAATTCTTTATCTTATGCCAGGATGGGAGCTCTGGTTGCATAGTGCCTAAGGCATTGGACTAGGAACCAGAGGGCTGGCGGTTCAAACCTACCAGCAACTCCTCAGAAGGAAGATGGGGCAATCTACTTCCATAGTGATAGTGCCTCTGAAACCCAAGGATGGGTCGCTATGAGTCGGGTCCGACTGGATGGCACATAACAACAACAACATGCCGGAATAGGTTGAGGGGAAGGAGTCAAGAGACAGGGCAAGCCTTTGTATTATTATTCTGTGAAGCTGGCTAAAGTCTCAGGGTGGATCTCCCTGGAGAGCAGTTGGCAGGTTTCTGGGGAGGCCTTTAATGGGGTCCTACTCCGATGCTCCGGCTAAGGCTGAGCGAGGTCAGCAGGGATCTCCCTGGTACCCCCACGCCTCATGCATTTTCCAACAACCAGGCCACACCAATGCTGCTTGGGCTGCAGCAAACACCAGCTGCCGCTGCCCCTGGGGACCTATGAAAAGTCCTCTTTCTGCAGCTGGAGAGACGTGAGTGGAGGATGAGGTCAGCTGGTCCTGAGGCCCAGGGGCCAAACGCCTCGGCGAAGGGTCCGAAGGGGGGCCCAGGAGCTAGCGCGTACCCTGCAGGCTCTGGTACATGCTCCAGTAGATTCGCAGACAGTTCTTCTCTTTCTTCATGCCCCGCTTGCAGCGACAGTTGTAGAGTGACTTCTGCTTCAGGGCCTCCATGGCGCTGCGGCACTCGTCCTTGGCCTCGAGGCCCGACGCCAGGCTGAAGTTGGTCTCCTTGCCCGCCACGCACTGCCTCAGCGTGCGGTACTTGGTGCTGCAGCTCTGCTCCTTCAGACACTGGTCGCTGGCTTTCACGCAGTCCAGGCGGTCTCCGCCGCTCACCTCCGCCGACAGGAGTACGTCTGCGGGGCCGAGGACAGGGAGCGTGAGTGCCGCAGGGCAGGGACCCCCACAGCGCTGCCTAGGGGGGTGGGCGCGGTTCCCAGGCACGCGCCTGGGGCAGGCGTGCTAACCCAGCCTTCGCCGACGCGCAGCGCAGGGAGGGCGACCAGCCCCGGGCAGTCCGAGTGTTCGCCCCAGGAACTCCGGACCCCATTCCGGGCCAGAGGGGAGGTTGGCACCGGCTGCCCACAGGGTCTGCGGGGGGCGGGGAGCCTGCGCTCTGCTCCCGCAAGCTCCAAACCCCTCCCGCCACCCGGCTCCCGTCGCGCGCGCGGCAGGCCTTGCTGAAGCCGGGGGCTGTTGAGGAGAGCTGCATCGGGCGAGCGTGGGGTACGGGGGAGCCTCGGTCCGCAGCTGGCCAGGAGGGGTGCGCCGAAACGTGTTCGAGGAAAAGTTTTCCCAACGAAGTTTGCTCTCGCGGCACCGTGTTCGCCCGCACCCCACCTGCTCCCTCAAGCCTCCAAGCTCCCCGGGACTCGCCAGGGGCGCCAGGCCCGGGGCTGGACGCCGTGGACTCCGTGGGTACCCACCAGACTGGGACATCAAATACCGTAGAAAATAAACAACCAAGCACGCAAAGCTGCGGAAAAATGCTGCGCCGCGAGCCCAGGGCGTTGCGCTAAGAGGAATAAGGATCCCTTCCCCCAGCGAAACTTGGCCCTCCCAAGCCCACCACCCGCACCGCCCGTGCCCTTTGGGAAGGCTCGGGGAGTAAGAACCGCAGCGGCGGCCTCGACTTACCCAGGAGCGGCAGCGCGAAGCACAGGGTCGCCAGGAACATGGTGCCGGCGCGCAGCTCGTCCCCCGCCCTCCCCAAATCACAAGCCGCCGCGAGGTCTCGCCGGGCAGCTCAGCAGGCAGCGATGCTCGGACGGCCGCGCTGCTCCCGCCGCCCAAAGTTCAGCTCCATCCAGCGCGAGAGTAAACTCCCGGGTGCACCGCCACCGCCGCCGCCGGCGACTCAGCTCCCGGCGGGCGCGAGGGCGGGAGGCGGCGCCGCTTCTCCGGGATCAGGTCCGACCCAACCTGGAAGGGAGAGAGCGCTTTGAAATGCGAGCCGCGGGCGCCAGAGCGTCCCCCGCCCCCCCGCCCTCCCCTCCCCCGCTCCCGCCCCGGGAACTTGCCTGCGCCGGGGGAGGCCCCGCGCCCACCCCCACCCCAGGCGGGGCGCCGGGGTGCCAGTGCCTTTTCCCAGGAGCCACCGGTACCCGCCGGGCAGGGACCCAAGCGGTCTGACGCTGGCTACCAAAGTGCGAGGGGGTGCCTGCCCGGCTCCAAGCCAAGCAAAGAAAGAAAGAACCGTACTTTCCGAGCGCCGCGAGGGGAGCCGGCAGCGGCGCTGGGTCGGAGCCCTGGGCGGCGAAGGCGGCGGCGGCGGCTCCCTCGCCAGCCCGGCGCGGAAAGAGCCCCTCTCCCGGGAAGTTGGCCGCCCCCTCCTTACGACGCTCGCTCGCTCGCCTGCTCGCCCTCCCAGCCAAACCACCAATCGCCGCCCGGGTCTCCTCGCCCCCTCCCCTGGCGCGCCTCCTTTCCGAGATGGCCAGGCCAGCGAGAGACGAGGTCCGGGCTGGGGCTAGCACCCGGCTGGTGCGCCCCTACGCGCCGCGAGTCCCCCGCTCGCTCCCGAGCGTTCGCGCCGCGCACAATCCCGCCGGGCGACCAGGACTCGGGCGCATCCACGCCACTGGCTGGGAGAGCGAGCCGGCCCGCATCCCCCACGGGTCCTCCCGGACAGGTGCAGCCCCGCGCCGCCTGCGCCCTGGCTCGCCCCGGGCTCCAAAGTTGGGGGCTTCTGTAAGAAGGGAAGAGGTGGCGGGGGTGCGGGGCAGCGGCGATGGGTTCCCGAGCCGACAGAACGAGAAAACTCTCCAAATGCCACCAACCTGGACTCAACCAATCGCGTCCAGCTGCGGCGAGGTGCCGGTTTAAGTGTTTATTTATTCGGTAGGGGGTGTTCCCGCCCCCCCTCCGCTTTCCCGGCTCACTTTCTCTGCGCTGGGAAGGAAGATGCGGTCATCTTCGCGAGCGCCGAGAGCTGAGTGGAGCCAGGACGGTTTCCGAGCAGAGCGCCCGGCTCTGAAGCCCGTTAGGGGTGCTAGCGGTTATTGGAATCGGCGCGGAGGAAGGAGAGTTCCGGGGCCAGATTGCTCCAGGCCAAAGGTTTCTCCCCTGCTCCGGCTCCCGCCGCCCCAGCGCACCGCCAACCACTCCAAAGCTCGCCCGCCGGGACAGACCGACGCCGCTAATGCAGACGCTGGCCAGCGGTGGAACCCGGGCTGGACCCGGCACGCGCGCACAGGATACGCCGCACTATGCAGCCGACAGCGGGCGCCGCCAGTGTCTCACTGACACGCTCTCTGTCTCTCACGCACACACACAGGGCACAATGCACAAAGGCTCTTTCTTCCGTCCTAGTACAATGGAGTCAGACCCTTCTTCCGAACGCAAAGTTTTCCCCACGTCACTCGCGCCTGTGACTCAAGACTTGGCACTTCAAAGACACGCTTAGACCCAGGCCCCAAGAGCAGCGATGGCGAGAGGCTCCCACTCGCTTGTCCACGCCAGCGCGCACACACTCACTCACACACACGCAGTCTCTACCTCTCTCTCTCCTCCAGCTTGGACCACGAGACAAAAGCGAACCCCCAACCCACTGCATCTGAAGCGGGTCAGACCTGGCCTTAGGAAATATATAAACTGACCTCCATCTTGTCTGTTTCAAAAGTAAATTCAAATAAGTAAATAACCAACACTTACACAGCCCTTCCCCCCAAGGCCTGAAACGTTAGTTCTCAGCGGGGCTGCCGAACTCCGTCCCCCGCCTGGGACATACTGCCCCTCCCCGCACGCTGGGGGGCGCCCGGGGCGCTGAATCTACACTGGGTTCTGGGAGGGAGCTGGGGGACAACCCACAGTGGCGGGTGGCCATCCAGCTGTTCAAGGCTTGTATTCGAGATCCTTGCTAATGTCCAAGTTCATCAGTCAGGGAACCCGAGTTTGTATTAAGTCTGGGTGAGCGCAGCTGTCAAATCTGCAAACGTGTCACACCAGACAATAGGCGGTGGAAGAGAGAAAGGAAACGCTCATTTTGATCGAGGGGGGTTAATTGAAAAGGGCACCGGCTTTGGTTGAAGTTGGTGGCCGGGTGTGAGGGCCTGGAGAAGGGGAGGAGGGGTGGGTAGCTCTCCGTTCACTGCTCGTGAGCCTGACGCGCCCCTGGGCTGCGGAGGCTGCCGGAGCCAGTGGTGCGTATTGTTTGAAAGCGCCAACTTGTGTAGGCGCCTGTGTGCGCATCTCAAACCCCGGGGACTTTCCACGTTTTCGCCCTCCCGGTTTGCCATGCCGGGATTTCTCAGGGCCAGGCAGGAAGAGCTTGCCGCCTCAACCAGCTCCTCCTCGACACACATACACAGTGGCCATGCACAGATTGGTAGTTCATTCAGTGTATCAATTTACACTGGGTTGTTGAGTAAACAGAGCAAACATATGTCACATTTTCGTGACAGATGGTTCAAACCAAGGGCTACTCACTCTCCCTTTCTCTGACAGTCTAAGTCCAGAGAGTATCACGTGGAAATAGAATTCAGTCTTCAAATCAGTTTTTTTCACTTAAAAAAAGTTTATTCTCATATTTTCACACACAAACTAGAGAACTCCTGGGAAGGTGGTTTTAGTGAGGGGAGGTTGTTGCTGGTGTGTCCTCTGGAGTGGTTTCTGACCCAAAGTGACCATGTAGGACAGAGTAGATCTGCCCCCAAGTGGTTTTCTTGACAGTGATCTTTAAGGGAGAGGATCACCAGGGCTAGTGGGGGGGGGGGTTGGTGAAGCCACTGGATGGGTTAGAACCAGAGACCTTTTGGTTAGCAGCTGAGTCCTTAACTGTTGTGCCACTAGGGCTCTGAATTAAGAATTTATGTGAGAACTATGTTTCTCCATGGACACCCAAAACATAAAACTCATCATTCCGTTGGATAAGTGGAAGTGACTTTCTCTCTTCAGAAAATCAGTAGTTAGAATTCCATATTTCAATATAGATGGACAAATGATCATTGCTGATGGTTTGGATCACCATGAAGTTTCATTTGAGGACATCAACCACATCTTTCATATGTGGGTTTTTTTTTTTTTTTTTTTGGTTGCTGTTGTTTAGAAATAATTCCATGTTACCCTGAGTATTCCACCAACACCTTTTTGACCAAATTCTAACAGGAGTAGAGGGAAGGTAGAACAAAAGTTCTCCAGATGTCAAATGTGGAACTTCTTTGAAAATACCTGCAGTTCCAAGAATAGTTTAGAACCATTCACTCACACTCTTCTTCATTAGATTCTTCCCAATGAATGATGGGAGCTCTAGTGGCTTAGTGCCTAAGGCATTTGACTGCTAACCAGAAGGCTAGCACTTCAAACCACCAGCCACTCCTTGGAAGGAAGTTTGGGCAATCTAATGATACCATCTGGGAAACCCAAGGATGGGTCACTATGAGTCAGATCCAACTCCATGGCAGTGCTTTTTTTTTCCCCCCTCCCCCAATGAATGATGAAAACAGAGCTTTGTTTAAAATAAACAAAAATAAACCCACCTGCCTAAGGCATTTGAGTGCTAATCAAAAGGCTAGCGATTCAAACCCACCAACCGCTCCTCAGAAGGAGGGTTGAACAATCTACTTCTGTAGTGATACTATCTCAGAAACCCAAGGAGGGGTCGCTATGAGTCGGGTACGACTTGATGGCAGTATGTTTCTTTTTTTTTTTTTTTTTGCCCTTATAATTGTGCCTTCCAATATAATAACAACTAACGATGTAGTTATTTGAATGAAAAGTCACTAAAATTAAATAAAAGAAAAAAAGTCAGTTCTTCAGTCATACTAGTCACACTTCAGGTGCTCAATAGCTGCATGTGGCTAGTGGCTACCATGTTGGTCAGCACAGATACAGTGTGGTTCCATCATCATGGACACTTCTGTAAGACAGCACTGTCCAATACAGTTGGTGTGAATATATTGTTAATATGGTCTTAGAATAGTGCAGGCATAGAGTGAGTGCTTTCTGATCTATAGTAGTTATGCTGAGGAGGAAGTTGAGGGATCCATGAAGACTCAGCCAATTGTTGGTGTGTCTTCTACTCAAGAGCAGAGCAGCAGGCAAAGAAACCAAGGAGTTCCCACTGCTATCAAGTTGACTCTTACTGATAGTGACTCTATAGGACAGGGCAGAACTGCCCCATAGGGTTTCCAAGGCTATAAGTCTTTATAGAAGCTGACGGCCCTATCTTTTCCCACTGAGTGGCTGATGGGTTCAAACCTCTAAACTTTCACTTAGTAGCCAAGCACTTAACCACCGAGCCACCAGGACTCCTTAACTAAGAAATAGGGAAATGGATACGTCAAAAGCTGATGTCCTTAGGAGATCTGTGAACAGAGAGTTAAGATACCCTATATTTGTTATGTGCCGTCGAGTCGGCCCTGACTCATAGTGACCCCCGACTCGTAGCGACCCCTCCTTGGGTTTCCGAGGCAGTATCACTACAGAAGTAGGATTGCCCAACCTTCCTTCCAAAGAATGGCTGGTGGGTTTGAACCGCCAGCCTTCTGGTAAGCAGTCAAGTGCCTTAGGCACTGTGCTACCAGAGCTCCTAAGATACCCTATAGAGGAAGCTAATATTAAACAAACAAATAAACCTGCCTCACAACTAATATGCACTGACTTGGAACATGGAAGTCAGAAATGCAGTGTGACTTAACAGGACTAGTATTATCTCTGTTTCCTTGGAGCTTATCTGTTCCCATGTGTACAGGATGATCTCAGGATGAAAGGTGATGTCAAAATATAAAATATTATTAGCAATTATAAAGGTTCATGCTATCTTCTGTGACATGTTTTCTCAGTGAGAAATTGGTTTTAATGGTACAAAATTGGGTTCAATCCACCCATGAGCACATGAAGTGAGCAATTTTCTTGATAGAAGTGTATTTTCATAAGTTAACAGGTGAATCATGGTGAGAATGACAGTTTTCTTCCACTCAGCTTTTTGTC